AGTATCATCAATGCCACTATAATCCAGTTCCTTCAAGATGGGAGGAACTCGCATACCATCTTTGCCATACATTGTTCCCATTTCCATGTCAAATTTGTGCTTTGAGCTTATAAAACCTCTTTCCAAATCTGAAGTATACGATTCATCTGGAATATCATCCTCAACCACAACCCATTCTCTGAAATTTATCAATGATTTTGGGATCCTACCACAGGAAAGTTCTTTGAAGTTTCGCATTATTCCCTTTGTATATGGATTTTCCTTCTTATCGTATCGGTACCGAAAATTCTCTTAGGTTGTCTGTAACAAAAGACAAGATAAAAAAATTTTTTTTTGTTTTTTTTTTTTTTTTTTTTTTTTTTATCCTTTTAAAAAGAGTATCATTCTTTTCAAAACATTCACTTCACAACCCTAAATAATAATTTTTTAACCATTTTTAGCATTATTTTTTAATTTAAAATCTTAATATACATTGTTATATTATTAAAGTGGGTTGTAAAGTGGGAGTAATTTTTTTTCAAGAGTGTCAAAATACTCTTTTCCACAATACAAAGTGATGAGAAAGTATGTGAGGCTTTACAGATAAAGCATACGTAAAGATCAAGACACAATACACATATTCATTAAATAATGAAGCAGATGATGAATTTGCTACAAATAAATCATGCTAAAACTCAACTTTGATTAAATAATGAGAAATATATTTGTATGTTTAATTACTGCAGTAGTCCAATATTCTTAAATATATAAGTAAGATTAATAGTATGCATAAATTAAATTATATAACTAATGACCAATTCTAAGATAATCACATGTACATGCAATAAGAAACCATTATATGAATGTTGCAAATATTAATGTTCAATGGAAAAAGAAATGAATACCTGGTTGGTGGAAATCAAATAAAGATGGAAAACCGTTAGCCCTCCCACGAACCAAACAGCTATGAAGCAATAAACAATGAGAGTAACTGATAGAACATCATGTGACATGTTGACCCACAATCTACCCTTCTGTCGGAGAAGGTTAACCCAAGAAAAAGCAAACACATATATACACAACAAGGTTGATGTTGATATGAACAAAATGAAGAATGGATAGTTACGCTGCAGAAACAAGAACGAAAAGGAACAAAGTTAGGTTCTTTTGAAGAAAAAAAAAGGCATATCAATACATGTTCTAAGTTCATTTGTTATCAAATTCAATAAACATACATTACGTGTTAATCTGTGATCTGTAATAGTGCATATCAGTATATTCAAAACTTCTGCAAAAGCAGATAAAAGAAACAAACATTAATGTTGTAGATAAGTAGGGTAACTTACCGATGCAATGCACTGACCAACCCAAGGGCAATGATGATCAAACTTTTGCACACAATTGTTGCAAATAGAACAATGAGAGGCACGTGGCGGACGATACAACAAACAAGTGTCACAAAATTTCACCTTTACTGTGTGACCATTAACAGTCATATCTTTCACTCTGGGAAACTTCAAATTAGGGGCCTTATTGTTTATCCATTCCATGGATGGTGTGTTTATGTCTAAAGGTTCATCTAATTCAGGTGGTTGTGCATTTCTGGGGATAATGCCTGGATCTCTACTAGATGTCATGAAGAGAAAAACAAAAACCTGTTAAAACCAATTAAATGATGTTAAGAATACCATTCCCATGTTAAACACTCAATATTGATAAGGCAAAACCTTTCAACTTTACCAACCAAAACTGTGAGAACCACTCCTCCAATTAGTACAGGGTTGCTAAAGTGAGGGTCTTCTTTCTTTAATGATAATAGCATTCTTATGCAAAATGTAATTGCAGGACCTCCAATCAGGAACGATGTTAGAAAAAGAGATGATGCATCCTGACCGAAAACTAATCTTCCACCACAGAGAAATTTCTGACAACAAAAACGTTAATTATGCATAATTAAATTACATCACAATATAGTGAAATTATTATACCTAATAGACTACTTCCTAAATAAAGAATTTGATGAATCAATTATACCCTTTAAGAGAAACATTAAGTGACGGAAAGAGTATAGATGGTGTATAAAATTTGAAGGGAAAAAAGTGTACATTGTTTCCTTTCCAAACTTGGTAGAGCCTTCTCTTGACGCCGGAAGGTGGAATTGAGGTGGCGATAGACGAGGAGCGAGAGGCCATTTTATTATTGTTTTGGTGGCAGGAATCGTGGTTGAAGATGATGTTGTTGCAATGATCACCTCTGTCAGCAAAAATCCACTTGCATTTGTTTCGTGGTATTGAATTAAGACTTTTGCTTAATGTTCTGGATTATTGTTCCTCACCGCGAGATCAATTGGCCGTGGTAGGGGAACAACAAGAAGGGAATTGAATTTCCCTTCTGAAGTTCCTTCCTTTTTTTTCTTACAATCTCATTTTCTCACACCTTCTCGCCTCTCTCCCCTCTCTCTCTCTCTTCATCCATGAAACAAGCATTGCTCTAACGATCTTTCAAATTCCACCGATCTTTTCGTTACTACTAACTATTTTAGACAACATTGTAATGCTATATGGTACTACTTTTTTTCACCACGTTAATGTGTGTGATCACACAAATCACACAAATCATTTTTTTAATGTATATTCTATAATAAAATATTGCATATGAAGAAATTAATAAACTTTGGATATAATTTTTATAATTAATTCAGAAATTCATATATAGATATAATTGCAAGTTGAACTTCAATGCTAGATTTTTATTTATTTTTACTAACTATATATGTATTGGATGTCTCAGGGATAAATGTAGTGATATGTGCAAAAGACTGTTAGTTTACGAATAGTAGTTCAGATTATTAAACCATTTCAGTTTAATTATAATGTAAAGAAAAACTAGAAAAAAGTTGTAATATTTTTGTATATTAATGATTTTTTTATATTTAACTTTTTATGAAATAAAGATAACAGCATTTAAAAAACATTGAATTTTAAAATGCCTCAAAATCAGTAAAACATTAGAAACTAATTAGATTATTTAGTGTGTGAATTGTAATTATAATAAGTATACACCGTATTTAATAAAGATAAGAACGTGATTAAAAATTATATAATACATGGGCAAAAATATCATACATAAAGTTGTAACTTTTTTTCGTAATTTTTAAAAACATGTTATAATAAATATAACTAATGTTTAACATTATCTCAATATTTTAAATTAAACATGTTATTTTATTGATATGTATATCTTCATAATAATAAAATATATAACTTTATAATATAAGAATTTACATAATTGTATTTTATTACCAATATTATTGTTAATATATGAACTGAAATGTTTCGTAACTCGATGAATTATAACAAGCTTTAGTAAACAAATAATAAGATTAAAATAATATCCTTAAAAGCATATAAGCACAAGAATATATATATATATATTAACTACCTCTTAATATTAGAATCATAATAAGGTATTTTTCACAACTAAAATTTGATACTTTAACAGGTTACACACAAGCACATACACACACAGACACACAAACACAGACACACACACACAGACACACACAGACACATAGACACACACACCCACGCATAAACGCACACTCACACACAACACACACACACGCAAACACACACACACAAACAGCACACGCACACACAGAGACACAAACACACACAGAGACCCACACACACCCACACACACACGCACAAACGCACACTCACACACAACACACACACACACAAACACACGCACATGCACACGCACACGCACACACACACACACAGACACAAACACACGCACACCCGCACACGCTCGCACAAACAAGCACACACACACACACAACACACGAACACAACACACACACACACGAACATACGCACACGTACACACACGCACGCATACACAGACACACACGCAAAAAACTCACACGCACACGCACGCACACACACACACACAAACACACACAGACACCACACACCACACAACACACGAACACACGAACACGCACACACACGTACACACACACACACACTCACACACACACACACACACACCAACCTACACACACATAAACACACAGACCCACACACACACATACACACAGAAACACACACACACA